GAGGGCTGAAAGCCCTATGAAGCGGTATATAAGTCTGATTAATAAATAAATAAATAGATCCTGGTAACGAAAAGTTCAGAAACCGACCCAGAAGCTTGGGGAAGGAACTTCTACCCTCACTTTATCTTCCCACTCAAATGCCCCACAGTCAACTGCTTGCTGCTTCTCAACCACCCCTCTGAGCACCTTCCTATTTACTAATATAAGGAGAAACTAATTTTAGTTTAGCATTTCGGAGAGCTACGGCTGCCTCCTACAGAATCGAGTGGGATGCAAAAATAGGCAGCGTTCCATCAAACCCATCAAATGCTCGGGGTTGCTAAACCCTCGGTCAGACCCACTCCTTCGAAACAGAAAGAGGCAAGGCATGGATAATAGAAGGGCGTGGGGTTGTTGTTGTTGTAGGTAAAAAAAAAAAGTGTGTATATAAAAGCCAGGGAGTTGGAGTGGAGCGAAGGGAAGAGGGTGGAGGAATAAAAGGGAAGGAGCAGGCCAGCCAAGCGGAGGGAGATTAGGCAGACACAAAGAGATGAAGTGGGGGGGCAGCTGTCTCACACCAGAGCCGACAGGAGAGGCTTTTGCTGCCCTCTCCAGCAACTCCAAAGTCAGGAAGTTGCACAGCAAGCAGATCCTACCAGAGAGAGAGAGGGAGGGAGGGAGGGAGGGAGGGAGGGAGGGAGAGATGCTTTATATATATGTGTATATCTCTGTGTTTATATATGTGTGTGTGTGTACGTGTTTGTGTAACTATAGATCACTAAATGAACTCAAGGACTACCTGTATATACCATATATCTGAATACTACCTATGTTTGTGTGTCTGTGTGTCTGTGTGTGTATCTATGAAACTTTGCACTACAACAGAGTCGAGTCGAGTGGAGTACAGAGTAGAGTAGAAATAGAATAGAATAGAATAGAAAATACAGGAATAGAATAGAATAGAATTTGGAAGGAACCTCAAAGGTTATCTAGTCCAACCCCCTGCTTAGGCAGGAACCCTATGCCATATCAGTGGAGTGGAGTGGAGTGGAATGGAGTGTAGAGTAGAGTAGAGATACAATAGAATAGAATAGAATAGAATAGAATAGAATAGAATAGAATANGGGGGCGATATGCTGACTCTGTAAACCGCTTAGAGAGGGCTGAAAGCCCTATGAAGCGGTATATAAGTCTAACTGCTATTGCTATTGCTAAGTGTAACAATTCGATCACAATCCATCGATCCTGGCCGCTATCGCAAATCGATCCTAAGTCTCTTGATTTTCAGCGCCGTAGTAACTTCGAGACGTCATTAAACGAACCGCTGTTAAGTCGAGGACTACCTGTATTTTCAAGGGAGGAAAATACATTATTTATGGATCTGCAACCGGGAATTAGCCGTAATTTAGTTTGATTTGGGAATAAACACCGGCTTCTTTACAATTGATTCCAAATTTTAGCCATTTGGAGAGACGTCGGCCTCGTCCCACCCTTAAAAAGAAAACAAAGAATTACAGTAGCATTAAAAAAATAAATAAATAAGGGCTGTTCACGGTGTGTTTTTTATTTTTCCTGCTGACACCCAGAATACCCATCGTTTGTGAGGATGTTATAAACTGCCTCGGGCAAAACCAAGAGAAATCCTTTCTTTAATTTTTAAAAAGCTCCCAGCTGGCGCATCAGCCTTCTTCCAAAGCAGGAAATCTAAGCTTGCCTGGATAAGGCTTTCTCCAAATTAGTGTCCGTCAAAGGAAATGCTAATTTGACAAATCCCAAGATACTTTCTCCATTTTTTTTAATTTTTAATTTTGCTCCCTGTCCAGAAAGGGTGAATTTTGAGGGTCAGCCGGCCTCGGGCCACTCATAAATTTAAGAACGGTAGAGCAAATTTGTGCGCTAGAATTAATAACGACGACAGCTGCAGGAGTGACATCTGTTCCAAAATACTTTCGGGGTTAAGGTTTAATAATGGGAAGCTGCCAAGCGAGCGAAATAATAAGACAAGATAAATAAATAAAGCCAGTTAAGGGGCTGCCTCAAAGAGGAGGGGGTCAAGCTATTCTCCAAAGCAGGGGTCTCCAACCTTGGCAACTTTAAACCTGGAGGACTTTAACTCTCAGAATTTCCCAGCCAGCTTTGCTGGCTGGGAAATTCTGGGAGTTGAAGTCCACCAGGTTTAAAGTTGCCAAGGTTGGAGACCCCTGCTTCAAAGCACCAGAAGGCAGGACAGGAAACAATGGATGGAAACTAATCAAGGAGAGAAGCAACTTGGAACTAAGGAGAAATTTCCTAGCAGTGAGGACAATTAACCAGTGGAACAAATTATGGGTGTTCCATCACTGGAGGTTTTGATGAAGAGTTTGGACAGCCATTTGTCCAGAATGGTGTAGGGTCTCCTGCTTGAGCAGGAGGGTGGACTAGAAGACCTCCAAGGCCCCTTCCAACTCTGTTATAAATAGCAACAGATATCGCACTTATATACCGCTTCACAGTGCTTTTACAGCCCTCTCTTAAGTGGTTTACAGAGTCACTTTCTTGCCCCCCAACAACAATCTGGGTCCCCATTTGACCCGCCTCGGAAGGACGGAAGGCATGAGTCAACCTTGAGCCTGGTGAGATCAGAACTGCCAAACTGCAGGCAGCAGAAGCAGCCTGCAGTACCGCACTCTCACCACTGCGCCACCACAGCTCAATGAAACTTATAATTTGTTGTGAGAGGCCGTTCAGAAAGAAGAGGGGGACCAATCTATTTTCTGAAGCACCTGAAGGCAGGATACGAAGCAATGGATGGGAAATAATCAAGGAGACAACCAGCCTAAAACGAAGGAGAAAATTTCCTGACGTTGAGGATAATTATAAGGAGCCGAGGTGGCGCAGTGGTTAGGGTGCAGTACTGCAGGCCACTTCAGCTGGCTGCTATCTGCAGTTCGGCGNGGAGATTTTGCAGTATCCTTCCCCTGGAGTGTGGAGGGAATGGAGATTGTGCAGTATCCTTTCTCTGGAGTGGGGTGGGAATGGAGATTTTGCAGTATCCTTCCCCTGGAGTGTGGAGGGAATGGAGATTGTGCAGTATCCTTTCTCTGGAGTGGGGTGAGAATGGAGATTTTGCAGTATCCTTCCCCTGCCATTCCCACCAAGTCACTCCAACAGAACCAGTAGTAAAAAAAAAATGAATTTCACCACTGTCTGGATCGCTCCCGGTTCCAGCAATGCAGGCCACCATACCACTACCAGTCCGAACCAGTAGGAACCCACCACTGCGTCCAGGAACAAAAGCTCCCAAACCTCAGATGTTCTTCAACCATGGTTTATTTTCTCACCACCAACCTGAAACGGGGCAGCTCGCCTAGTCCATCAGTTGGCGAGTGAGAACCTTCGTTGGCCAAGGAACATTAAGTCACGTCGTCCAAAGGAAACGATTGGGTGGGTTTTAAAAACAAAACAAACAAACGAAACAGAACACAATTGTTTAAAGAAAGAGGATGCAACCAATTGGTGGTGGGGGGAAACAAACAATGTAGGTCAAGGACAAATGTTTACAGAAAATAAAGAGAATCGGAAGCTTTCTCTTCTAAAAAAAGAGAGAGAAAATATAATAAATAAATATTCTGCAACTATCCTGAAATATAATAAGGGTGGTTGGGGTTTTTTTCCAACCCTATTGACCTGGCTGGACAGCTTTAACTGACACTCGCTATCTCCTTCAATAAGCAGCAGTAACACCAACGGAGACGGTGGAGAATTGAAAACGCCATTTTTCTCAAGCTGGACTCCTGAACAAGCGTTGGAGCCAAAGCTCGTTCTACAAATGGACAGACGGGAAGGAGTTAACTTTGTGGAAAAGCCACTTTCTGGCAGAGATCCTGCGAAATTAGACCTTGTGGATGCTAATCTCCTTCTCGGTGAAACTCGTCTTTCTTTTTCGAGGTTAGATTAGTCAGGACTCAGGGCCACTGCAAGGTTTCCCCATGAAGATGACTCCATGTTCTTCCCGATATATTTACTTACGGCGTTATTTGCCCAATCTGTAGAACCATCCATCTCGACAAGGGAAATGGAGGGTACCCATCATTTTTCCTTCTTCTGGAGTCTCTTCTTCTTTCTTTGCCCCCAGCCAGATATCAAGAAGCTCAAGAAGAGGCTCAAGAACGCAACGTTCAAAGGCCATCTACGCTGACCTTTGAACCTCAAGAAGGTTCAGCTCTACAACCACCTGAACTGTGAGATGCCTTCAGCAGAGATGCTCCTCAATATCCGGCCAAGTAGGGGCATGTTGCGAAAGTCCACAGAAGATCGGGCTTTACTGGACGATGAAGACGATGGCTATCATGTGCAGTAACCCCAGCCAGAACGATAAAGATGGCGTAGAGGCAAATCCTATTGATTTTTCTTGCCTTTCCCTACTGCCCTGAGCTGGATTCTCCAGGTATTCAGTTATGACTGTCTGATTGAACCAATCTTCTGTAGATACGCAGGAGTACTTGCCATAGAGCTCAGCGGTCATATTGTCAATGAAATGAAGACAGTGACGGTGCCCGGAGTTGCAATGGGCAACTGGCCGGTCATTGTGAAACCAGGTGTAATTGGCATAATGAGATTCTTGAGAGCAATTCATGAAATAGCGGGAGTGTAAGGCCACGCTGACTTCCTTCGCATACGGACTTCTGCTGTTTCCTGAGGAGAAGGAAAGGAGGGAGGAAGGAAAGAGTCAACGGTGGGACAGATTCTAATTCTTTTTTTTCAAAAAAAAAAAAGTATTTATTGAATTTTCTAACATTTAAAAGACAAATGTACACTTATAACAGCTTTTCCGTATCTTTTGCAACAGTATTATTTGCAAAAGATTCTACCACTATATCATTATCCTAAGTTGTATGCTTATTTAAATACACTCTGTGTTATTCTTTTACTTAAGTTTTACGTTTACTCTCAAGCAAGGAATACTATCTTTTCCAAATTTGATAGTACTCAGTTTTTTCCCCTCTCCTTCATTTCCATAGACAGTCTATCCATTTCTGCACATTCATAGATTTCCCTTCTTATAATTGGGTCGGGAGGGGAGGGGAGAAATATCTGTTTGTTTCCAATTCTGTGCTAGATTGATTCTATTTGCAGTTACTATGTGTAGTATTATGTATTGTAATTTATTCTCCATTTTCCCATCAGAAATACCCAGGAGGAACAATTCCGGCTTCAACTCTATCCTCTGTTCAGTTATCTCTTCGAGCCACTTTCTTATCTTACACCAGTATTTTCTAACCTTGGGGCAGGTCCACCACATGTGGTAGAATGTTCCCATATTAGATTCTAATTCTAATAGAATGATTTTTATAAACCTCCATCAACTTTCAGTTATCTTTTTCTTCATCCTAAAATCGCAATCCACTGCTACTTTCAACACTTTGTCTGGTGGCCATTCTTTCTAACAAATCCTCACCACCACCACCCTGTCTCCTTCCTCCTCCTAATTCCTCGCGGGCTTTTAAAAACATCTTTTCACAGATTTTGTAGGAAACATCTCCTGTCTTCTCAAGTGTACTTCTTGAGTACCTGCACGTTTGTTTGTGACTATTACCTTCAGAGTTGTTTGAAGTAGGACAAATGTTTTGAGGAACATCATGGTTTAGAGACTGCAATACAGTTCTTAAAAAAAATGGAAAATCAAGTTAAACATCAAATCCCTTCATAAATTAGTCCATCACAGGTTCAGCCTGCCGCAACTCCATAAAAGATATACAGTGGTCACATAATTATTTATATGTGCTTAGCTGGTCAAAAAAATAGCTGAATATTCACAATCAACATGTTTCATTGTCTTATTAGAAGGCCATGTTCTCACACATTTTTACTGGATTGCTAGATCAACCACTTTTCTTGGTTTGTATAATATACTCAATAATAATAATAATAATGAACTCAAATACTTTGGCCACGTAATGAGAAGGAAGGACTCACTGGAGAAGACTCCTACGAGTCCCTTGGACTGCAAGGCGATCCAACCGGTCAGTCCTAGAGGAGATCAACCTTGACTGCTTTTTAGAAGGCCAGATCCTGAAGATGAAACTCAAATACTTTGGCCGCCTAATGAGAAGGAAGAACTCCCTGGAGAAGAGCCTCATGCTGGGAGAGATTGAGGGCAAAAGAAGAAGAAGGGACGGCAGAGAAGGAAGTGGCTGGATGGAGTCACCAAAGCTATTTATCATGTATGTATGTATGTATGTATGTATGTATGTATGTATGTATGTATGTATCTATCTATCTATCTATCTATCTATCTATCTATCTATCTATCTATCTATCTATCT